TTTTATTTTGTTTGATTCACCTTTAGGCTAGAACCCTCTAGGGAATCACCATTTTCTAAGAAGTGGGTTCAATTGTAGATTACCCATATCTATAATTGAATCCACCATCTTTAATTTCTTGTATTTTCTTTTATTCTCGAATTTTGTTCTTCATTCTTGATTTTCTATTTGTTTCTTGATTTTATTCATTTTTTTCTTCTTGCCTTATTGATCACACTCATTCTTTGTCACATTCACTCTCACTTAAATTTTGCGTCGTTTCACACACTATCACTTTCACTCTCATTATCTCTCCACAATCACATTTACTCATCACTCCTATTTGTCACGCACACAAAATAAGAACCAATTTTATATTTTCTCCTACAAAACACCTTCCTCGTGGGATCGATATCTTAAATACTATAACTTGACACGGTTGTGCACTTGCAACCTTTTTGGTACATGTTTATGTCGTATCACTCATCAATTAATGGCTCCATGAACACATCTATGTCATTACTGGGTGAATGTTTGCCTGGTATCAATAATGAAAGAATCATATATGATTGCTTCATACAAAGTCCAGGTGGCAAATTATAAGGCATTAACACAACTGGCCAAGTAGACCATCCCGAACTCATAATGCCAAACGGGTTGAATCCGTCGCTAGAAAGACCAAGTCTGACATTCCTGCACTCTGTGGCAAATGAGGGAAAAGTTTGATCCACATGCTTCCATGCCTTTGCATCTGCTGGATGTCTCAGTTTACCATCATCTACACGTCCTACCTTATGCCACCACATATCTTTAGCTACCTTTTTTGTCATATACAACTGTTGCAACCGAGGCACTAAGAGAAAATGTCGGAGCACCTTCGCTGGAATTTTTTTCTATTGATTCACTGACTCATTCGACTTTCGGGTTGAAGTGCATGTATTCTTTCTCCATCGAGACACTCCACACTTTGGACATTCCTCAAGTTTCTCATTATCCTTATAATAAAGGACACAAAGACTTAATGAAGTTATTGGCGACGGAGAAACATTGACAACGCCAATAACCCGTCGCCAATACGAACATTGGCAACGTACAGATCCTGTCGCCAATACTTATTGGCGACAGGAGAACATTGGTGACAGACGCGGTTCGTCACCAATAGGTATTGGCGACGAAAAACATTGGCGACACAAATAACCCGTCACCAATACAAACATTGGCGACGGGTAATGGCCATCACCAATGTTTTCCCGT